AGTGTATATATTAGTGTACCATGATTTATCCCCTCCCGACTTCTGTTTAGCAATAGTTTGTCTACCGTAGCGCCGCCGGTGTACATATTTTGAACTACCACAGAAACCGGGTTTTGGTCTCATTCTCGAAAGCATTAGTTGAGCCTCCTTATCTCTATTCTTCATGGCGTTCGGTTAGAAGTTGTCGTTCGTACGCTTGCCAAACAAAACAGGAAGAAGACCGTTGTCATACCTAACCTAACCTAACGACTCCCTCCTACTTGAAAAACGATATATATATACGACTGCGCGCACGACGATTTACGACAGCTACCGATGATGCCCGAAAATGGCACACTTTCTCCAACATGGCGCTGTTCAAGTGGGGACAGAAAATTTGCGCTAGAAAGGGGGCATCCACTATCCAGTTATAATATAGATCAGTGATGTGAACTGAAGGCGATCACGTGTTCACGCCCACGTGATCACGTACACTAGAAGAAGATAGATACCCAAATAAATTGGTGTTGTTCTTTTCCCTCAGGACATCCCCCACTACCTCATAAGCAGTCTATCTTTTATGGCTGCGGTCAAACCGTCGCTTCAAATGCTTCCAAGTATTCTTCTTCTCCTCTCTTTCGGTAAAGATGGAGGGAGAAGAGAAACGCTTCGAAGCGTTCGTAGCGGCAGCTTGACCGCAACCTATATGCCATGATGTAAAAAGAAAGGTGTAACAACATCGTGTATGCGCAGTAGTCATGTGCATTTGGACCCAAATTTCATTGGCTCGCTCATCGTGCGCCGCCGCTATGCGCAATGATACACCTTTCTTGCAGTAGCTATGTGCATTTGGACCCAAATTTCATTGGCTCGCTCATCGTGCCGCCGCCGCTATGCGCAATGATACACCTTTCTTTTTACATCATGCTATATGCTATGCTTTGCACTAAAGCCTATGGCTGATGGCAGACAACTATCCGTAAGCGCTTAAGACTGACGTAGCCGTAAACTTAAGGTAAGGCAGAGAAAAACATAAGCCGTAAGGAACACGTGTTCTACGGCTTATGTTTTTCTCTGCCTTACCTTAAGTTTACGGCTACGTCAGTCTTAAGCGCTTACGGATAGTTGTCTGCCATCAGCCTATCACACAATGCCAGGCAACAGGAACAGGGAATAGAATTAACGCGTTGGATTGGTTGGAAGAAAATTTCCGACGAATCCAACGCGTCAAAAATTCTATTCCCTATTCCTATTGCCTGTTGCCTGGCATTGTGTGATAGGCTTAACACACGTACAAAAATCCTATGATTGGTCATAACTAAAACATGTCGGATGCGCAGTACGGATCGGCGCGAACGTGAAACAAAAGAGCGAGTGGGCATACTGGTTATACTGTGGTTCTATTCTGTTGACAGTCTGCGACAGGTTAGCGTTTTTCAAATAGTCCTGTGGCCGATGGCGGGGCGCGGGCGTCAAATTAAGAGAGTTCCATTCATCGAGTGTACAACACGTCTTCTAACCTAGAAGAAAAATTTTTGTTCCTGCGGGGTTTCATCATCCCGCGCGAGACCCGATAGTCGGGGCCCTCGCTTTGTATGTCACCAATTAAACGTCTATTGGTTCGTCGTGGCCGTGTCGGCTACCATTTATCAGGAGCCGGGCACCATAATTAGAAGTCAAATTAAGAGAGAAATTATGTCACGGAAAAAGCACAACATATCGTATATCAAACCGGATGAACCGAAGTTTCTACGAGAGCTGAAGGAACAAATTGGGTACAAAGAAGGCCCCACTGTCGACACGAAGGTAAGGCGTCTGTAAGTTTTACTTGCTCCGAATTTAACGATGTTCATCCTTTGTGCGATTCATTGTTAATTAATATAATTGAGACGGGAAACTTATAGTCAACTCAACTGGCTAATTATTTTATCAGTTTATTACGCAACGTTTCGACCCTATTCGTTTGGGTCCTTTTTCGAGTGATACTGCAAATCAGCAACAACGCAGTTATGAAATAATGTAGGTTAATAAGTAAAAAGGGTTTAGTTAATAGTTAAAAGTTAAGTAACGCACCTAAGTCAGTCATCGTCGTCAAATAAGACAGTCGAGTTATAAAATATATGTATATGTGTGAGCACTGTGATAGTGTTCCTTTAATATCCCAGGTCTTGTCGGAGGATATAAAAATGCGTACTTATATTATAGGTACACACTTTTTGAACATAGAATGAGATAGAATAAGAAAAGAATTATAATAAATCTTGTTCTTTGAAAATTATTTCTCTCTCTCTCACTCTCTCACTTTATGGGTTTACTATATAAAATTGATAATATTAATATGTAAGTTTTAAATAATATTCTAGGAAAAGTTTCAAATTCTAAGCATTTTATAATTGACGCTCCTTTGTTAAGTATAACTACCCCCCAAACTTCAAGAATTTATATAGCTGGGCTCGAACTGACTTGTCATGTCTTAAGAACAATACAAGGTGATATTGCGGACTAAACAGTTTTGATTACACAGTCATATGTTACATTTAGGTTCTCGGTGTCTGTTTGTAAACTTAGTGTGTTATCGGTCTTCTTGATGAAAAACATTTCGACGATTTCTCTTTTTCTCCTGAGACGCTCGCTATGTAAAATTCTTAGTTCCGACCAGTTGAACTCGTGATCATGTGATGCACGGTGTTTGCTGACCACGGAGTGGCAGCTTTCGTCTTTTTTTTATGTAATTTTTATGTTCTTTAATTCTGGTCAGAAGGTGTCGTTCGGTTTGTCCAATGTAAGAGGCTTCACAGTCGGTGCAATTAATACGGTAGATGACTTCGGTTTTTTGGCCCCAATTTACTACCTATATCAAAGGATTGACAGATTGACAGAACTCGACTCTGTCTTATTTGACGATGATGACTGACTTAGGTGCGTTACTTAACATTTAACTATTAACTAAATCCTTTTTACTTATTAACCTACATTATTTCATAACTGCGTTGTTGTTGATTTGCAGTATCACTCGAAAAGGACCCAAAAGAATAGGGTCGAAACGTTGTGTAATAAACTGATTAAATAATTAGTCAGTTGGGTTGACTATAAGTTTCTCGTCTCAATTTTTAATCATTACTGGTGACAATAAGCAAACTCTCCTTTCGATTATTAATAATATTGAAAGCAGAACAGAAATATATTCAAGTGATTCATTGAATTAGAGGCAATCCCTACCAGAGGTGTCTGACGAAGAAAGGGAAGAGCTGGTTGATGAACAGCCTGTTGTTGTCGTGTTAAATTCTGGTGATTTAACAGCGGAGGAAGCAGACGCCTTTAACAAACAAAGGGAAAAAGGTACAGAAACAAGCAGAATTTGTAACAAAACACATCGTGTAACCGTGTGATTTTCAGCGTTAATCTATCAGAATTATTAATTGCAGAAGAAAACAATGCCCCAGCTGATCTATCTAAGAAGATTGTATTTCGCAAGACTAAAGCAGTAGTAACAGATTCTGACACCATCGCTGCCGATAAACCTATGAGGAAGAAAGCGAAGAAAGAAAAGCAAAAAGCCGTCCTGTCCTTCGATGCTAATGACGACGACGACAATGGATAACGCAGAATGTGAATTCTCGTTTGAGTGTACACCGACCGGCAATGAATCGTTTTGCAAGAGAGGAATTGTTCCCCCACTCGTTGATAATTCATCGATTTGCTAGAGTGGAGAAACAAATCACTTACCCTCTTGCGAAACGATTCATTGCCGATGACTGTACATATTAGGCTGGTAATACATTTATGGTACAACAAATTTTCCAGGCGTGTTGATTGGCTGCAGGATAGAAAAATTCTGGGGCTCGATCATGAATCTTTTCCTCTAGCGTGAAAAATTTACTTGTGAAAAGTAAAAATTTTCATGGAAGAATTTATTTCACTTTTTATGAGTTCACGCTAAAGGAAAAAATGTATGATCGAGCCCCTTGATTATCTAGAAATTTTCTATCCTTTAGCCAATCGACGCGCTTAAAAAATTTGTCGTATGACAAACGTAATACCAGCCTAAGCCTGATATTACATTTGTCGTACAAATGTTTCAAGCGTGTTAATTGGTTGCTGAATAGAAAATTTCTAGATACTCGAGAATTTTGCTATCCTGCAGCCAATCAACACACTTAAAAAATTTGTCATATGACAAATATAATAAGGGTGCTTTCCAACAATGTACACAGGCGACACTGTGTAACACGGTGAATCGTTCCATCTTCGTTCTTGACCATTATTAAATGAGGATGAAACTATTCTGTTACGCTGCGTCAATTTGTGTCTCTTGCCGGACAGCACCGTCTGCAGGTTGTTCAAAAATTTGATGCCCAAACTTCTAGGAGTGGTAAGAGAGTTTCGACATATTTCTTTTTTATTGGTGTACCAGAATTCTCGATCTGTTTCATCGTAAGTTCATAATTAGTCTTTCCTTTTTCTATTTCGATAAATGTAGGTAAAGAAAGTCCTGATGATGGAGTTTTTTTAGGTGCTCGCCTCTATAGAAACATAGGAACGAACTGGCTGCTGGACAGCGGTCTCCGTTAATTTATCGCGTGCGAAAATATTTTTAGAAAGGGGCTATTTTTGCACGCTTCTCTAGATCAAAATATCTGAGGCAATCCAGCAGGCGGATCAAATCTATGATTAAGTGGTGCAAACGATTTTCGTTTAACGACGCCAGATTCGACTTTGTTGTCGGAGGAGATTTCTGTCGTAGATTTTTTTTTCAGTCGAAATCGCAAGCGGTTTTAGTTTCGTTGCAGCGTTTGCCGCCTTAGTTTGCAAACGCTTTCCCGTGACTTTTGTAATTCTCTTTGTGACTTTAGAATTTGTTTGCTCTTGGATCGTTTTCTTCTTATTTACAGGCGCGACTTTCGATATCGGAGAATAAAAATTATGACGTACTATTCCAACGACGAATGGCAGCTTTTCTTGCGATTTCTGCTTCTCCTTTTTGCTCTTCCGCTCGGCTCTCCAATCTGATAACTCCCCTTTTTGCGGGTTTCTGTAACAACATTCTGTGATATCGCGGAGCCTGGCGAGTCCACCCTTCGATTTTCCTCGAAGTCCCGCGTTCTGCGTTTCCTGCGTTTCGCCCGTTGCTGCTGACAGAGATTAACTTGCATCCTCTTCACGTTACCAAAGGCGATCGGCGGCCTCTTATGCGACTTCTTTAAATCCGGCATTTCCTTCTTTCCCCGAATGCTGTAGCCAATGCTGATCACGCGGAGTTTCTCGGTAGGAGAGCCTGTTAAGCGGACGTTTTTTTTTTGTTAAATAGATCATAGATCCGAAACTAACATTAGGTCTGGTTGCCGTCGATGAACTGGTCTCCTAATTAACGGTGAATTGCATAATCAGGACATTCTCCTTTAGAGAAACATTTACGATGCGCTCTACAAAATGCTCGTGTAGTGCTCCATGTTGTAATCACAGCGAGTTATTTGCTCCATATTAGTTTAGTTATTTCAGATCCATGGCTGTTTGAGAAAGAACATTTGTTTTCGCCTCTTCTGCCACTCCTAGAAATTTGGGCAGCAAATTTTTTCAACACTGTACACAGGGTGTTACATTCGTCAATCGGTCACTTCGTCATCTAACCAAAAGTTATGGCAGAGAAGAAAAAGCGTGTACCATTTTGCAAAATTTGTGAAGGAAACATCTGAGAAGCAAGAATCCGGACTCAGTAGGCGCGCAAAATAATTGTTCGTTTCCTCTTTCAGCTTGACCCGATCTGCCATAATTATTTGGTTTGGTTACTAACGAATCTGACACCTTGTATGCTTAAGGCCCGGTCTACAATGAGTTGTTAGTCGTTAGTCAGAAGTCGGAACTATATGTCAGTCCTTTTTCTTCCACCCAGAAAGGAAAAGGATCAACATATAGTTGCGACTTTGACTAACGACTAACGACTCATTGTAGACCGGGCCTAAATGTTTTTGTAAATAGTAATGTGCATTGTATCGAAATACGTGTGTAAAAAATTTACATGAATTATTTTACCAATTAAAAAACTATCTAAAAACCGGAATATGAATTCACATATTAAATTTAAAATTAGTGGGCTACCTTCGTCCTGCTCGGATCTAAGAAACGATTTGGCGTTCGCGTTTCCATTTGATTAAAAAATTATTGCCAATGCCGGAGAGAAAGAACCGAGTGACAAAGATATTTAATAAAAATATTGTTGGAAAAAGCGAGTTTAACCTTTCATTCGTGTACAAATATGACGGATAACATTTTTAAGAAAAGTCCTCAATTCTCTCTCGCAACAATATTTCAACCGAGATATAAATAGTACAAGTCTGTTTGCTAAAGAGGATACTTTTTGCTTCGTACGCATAATTACATTTCGCAGATATGCTCGATAATCGAAACGTATGCATGTGATGCAATTAGGTCAGAGAATATCATTAAAATCGAAGTTACGAATGCGGCGCTTAACAGAATCACGCTCGCAAAAACGTTTTGCAAGCGAAAAAGATCGCGCGCGGCTAGTCCCGTAAAAAAGAAAAAACAAATCGGCCGATCTCCATCTCTTCACAAACCCCGTGCAATTTCCCGCGTACGAATCGCCGTGTCGGTTCGACGTTGAAAAGGGCGACCGCGCGCCGCGTCCACCCCCGTCTACGCCATTTTGACCGCAGTTCGCCCTTATTTTTAGGGCAGCACCTCTCCCATTGGACGTGCACGTGCGCGCGGTCACGTGACGGCGCGCGGCGAGCGCGACTGGCCGGCTCCCCGGCCCTTTAACATCCGCGAACGTCACGAAAACGTCGCGGGTCACGTGACGGCGGCCGCCATCTTGGCAGTGTCTCGCCGACGGTGGTGAGAGGTGCGGATCGGTGACGTCGCGTCGCGGCTGAAACAAACACCGAGTGCGTGCGACCGGCCCGTCGGCTCACGCACGAGCAGCGCCGACGTATCGCGGGCGACGTTGGGAGCCGCGTGTGCCACCGCAGGTGTTCGCCGGCGCGCCGAACGAACGGTCAGTACGAATTTAAATAAGCGCGCGCGGCGATCCGGCGCGCGAGCCGAAGTGCGTGTGTCGCGTGCGTTGCGGCGGCCGTCCCGGCCTCCGTCCGGGGGGCACGACGAGCCACGGTCGCGGCAGCTGTTCGACGGGCGCACGTCGCCGTCGCGGCCGTCGCGCAGAAATGGCGGGAGCTCCGACCAGTTGGCCGTCGCGGCCGTGGCGCGGGTGTGTGTATGTGTGTGTGTGTGCGTGCGCGCGCGTGTATGCATGCGTGTGTGCGTGTGTGCGTGCGTGCGTGCGTGTGTGCGTGTGTGCGAGCGGCGGAAGAAAAGAGCGCGAACACGAGCCGCATCGGCGGCCGCTCTGTCCAAGTCGGCTGCATCCCGTGCGCTTCTCCTCGGCGCGGCACGCGCCAGTAGCACGCTTGTGACACGCTCGCGTAGGAGACGTGCCCAGGGTCGTGCCACATCCGGCGGGCGCCCTGCGCCCTCGCGCCACCACACAGTCGCCCCCCTCCCGTCCACCCACCCCGCGAGCTTCCCCGCCGCGCCGCGCCGCGCCGCGTCGCGTTTTCGCCCCCCACCGCGTGCGGAAACCTCCTGGACTCGCTCCTGTGCGAACGTATTGTACGAACCTACTCTCCTCGCTGCACTTCGCGGCCGTGACGACGCGCGGCACGCTTGCATCGGTAAACAATGCCAGGAACCCAAAATGGTGGTCAGGTTAGGGAGTTTCCGTCCGCGGAACCGGGGACGTCGGGACTCACAATCGCCGATTTGCTTTTTGTCCACGTCCACGGGTCGTTCGAGTAATTTTTCTGTTGTATTTTATTTCTCGCGCCGAGCGATAATTGATACCGACACGCGAGATCCGCGGAGATTAGGATTGTCTCGTACGCGATTGCGGAAAAAACAACAGTCGTGTCTGTTACAGAATCGTCGGTTCTTCAGTCGACGATTTGTCAACGATTAGCTACTCGGATTCTACGCTCGTTCTTGTCGCGACGGGAAATTGACGGATAAGAAAGGGAAGAGATTTCGGCGGAACTACCGAAATTCATTTGTCGAAGTTAATGGTTGAGATAAAAAAATCTGCTCCCGTTCTAAATTCGTTTTAATTCGTGTAAGAGAGAAAAATGGCATGGCAGGATACCGCTAGGTAGATCGTTTACAATAACGTCTTAGAATCGGAACACTGACACCGTTTACATCCTCTCTTTCATGTTAGAAAACATCCTCGCTCTCGAGAGCAAAACTCTTGGAAAGTCGTCGAAGAAACGACGATATACCCGAAGAGGTTCGCTCCCGAGAGGTGCGAAATCAATATCTTCCCTTTGATAGGAAACGTTCGAATAATTGAGATTGATAACCGAAATATTGTTCGCCAATCGCTCGCTCGAGGAATTTTTCGTGTCAGGCGTTTCCGTTTTATGAAAATTAAGAACAGTCAGCCACTTTATGGAAATTAAGATAACATCCTTTCGCGAAGAATCGTCTAATTGGGAGATAACGCACGTTGACAACGCGCCTTAATAACTCCCGAGAGTGCCCGCGCGTCAATACTTATTTATCGCGCTTTCCGTTGTAACATTGCCAAATGTCATCGGTCGCAGTGGAGCCAATTGTACTTCGTTGGCCCTTGAAATATTAATATTTTTTTAATTATAACTTCGAAATATAATATTCCAGTTCGAGCGTTTTTAAAACGTTCTTTTAATGAAAAAAAAGGTAAAAGAAACGCCAAGTATACGCGTCATCCAATCAAGAAGTATATAATTTAATTATTTGGATATCTTTTATTAGAAAAAACACTTTTATCTTCTCTCTCTCTCTCTTTCTCTCTCTCTCTC